AGAAGAGTGGAGTAAGGACACTTGCATAAGGTTTTGCGTTCCCACAGAATAGTGAAGCAAAGTCCCAACAAGAGCAGTTAATGATGTGCTGATAAACTCCCTGAAACATCTACAAGAGTCACAGGCAAAGCACCTAAGGGAATTTCAGGTGTTTGTAAAACGTAGCTTGTAGGTATGCATGTTTTTGATGCCTTGTGGCCTGTTATTTGTACCAAAAATACAACTACAGTCCGTAGCAGAGATTGGTGCGAGAAAGATTAAGTCAAGCTTTCTTTCCGATAGTTATCCTCCCAAGCAGTAAATAGTTCGAACAAGGCTTTGTGAGTGCTGATGTGCATACACGTGTTATGTGCTTATTAATTTAAGTGATTAGAGTGACAAAGGGCTTCTTGTTTGAAGCAGAAAATTAAGTAGCAGGGTTTACGATAAACAATGGATGAAAGGAGAAAATAAATCAGTGGAACACAGGGGTGCTGTCTTACTGTGTACAGAGAGCTATCACTTTTTATTCATTGGGTGTGCCTGCCAAACTGCAACCCATTACTTCACAATTACGCTTATTGCAATAAATGGTTTGACTGATGGGTTTGAATGGAGCAGTAGACTCCCAGCTATATCTCAATTATTTCATGTTTGATGATTTTTTTAAAAAAGCTGACAGATTTAAGTGGCCCAAAAACCCAAAGGATTTCCTGGAAATCAGCAGGTTAAAATTCTACCTCCGCCCGCACACACACACACACATACACACACACACACTTGCTGAATAAAACCACTCCATGGAGCTGCATGGGAGACAACAACCTCAATCCTTTCTGAGCTCCACACACACATGCACCCTTTCCAACAAGAATATCCGAATAGTGATCAAAAGCTAGAACCCTGGTTGATTTTTTTTCAGACTATTCTAGTGTGCAATCTAGGTGTCTGGTTCAACCCCCAGCTGTCCTTCCTTCCCCACATCCGGTCCCTGACCAGGAAAGCCTCCCTTCACCTCTGCCACATTGCCCACCTCTCCCAAACTCTGGAACACTTGCCCTCAGTAACTCCGCCTTACCCCCTCCTCTTTTTCAAGTCCGCCTGAAAACCTTCTTCTTCCACCGTGTTTATGGCCATCTCCCCCCACCCCAGGGTCAGAGTCAATACTGGGTTCTGGGTTCAATTCCCAGGTGGTGCGAAACATTAGGCTAGTTTCCTTACTCCACACTCCACACATCTGTTTATCACCAGTAAGCACTCCAAGACGCTACACTGCGTGAAGGGCACTATATAAGTGCAAGTTGTCATCGTTGTTGAACTTAATCGTCTCCTTTGTGTGACAAAGCCCTCGCTTTGTTGTGTATGATCCCCTGGACTGAGAATGTGGACTTATAGGAATATGTAAGATACGGGCCTGGAAAAGACCACAGTCATCTCCCTGACCAGTTCCAGAGTAAAGAAACTCTTGTACCCTTCAATTGATTTATTGGCAAATTCGCTAAAACCCTGGCTAACCAGTAGACAGTGGGGGTGGGAGATCTATTCTGACAAGCTGGATTTTCCAGCTAAATGTACTAGCATTTACCATTTTTGTTTGGAGCTGGCTTTTCTTGTCGAGTCTTATAGCGTATTGGTGAGAGGACCTGGGTTCAATTCCCAGGTGGGGCGAAACATTAGGCTAGTTTCCTTACTCCACACATCTGTTTATCAGCAGTAAATCGGAGCCCGGTTGTTCGTTGTTTGACAGAATGGTTTCCGGGGGTAATAATGAGGGAGAGGGAGGATTGGCTGCCCTGTTTCGTCCACAAAATATAGTCAATTCACTCTTTTAAGTATATTCTGTGAAGCGCTTTCAGACATCTCAATGATATGATAAAGTGCTATACCAATTGCAAGGATTATTATTATAGTATTAGTATTATTCAGTGCTGAACAATGTCAGAACCAGGATTGCAATTGTTTGAATCCCACGAGAAGTAGAAGAAAGCAAATCAGCTGTTCACCTTCCATTTTCTAACCTTGAGCCTGTGTCCCTTGTTCTTGGTATTTACTATGTGAAACATTATTAATATTCAGTTTATCGATACCATACAGGATCAACATCCTGCTGAGCCTCGTGTGAACATTCCCAGCTAACATAGCCCTTTCCTCCTAATTTGAGTGCCTAATTCCAGCTGTCAATCCAGTCACCCATCGCCGCACACTCTCCATAGCCAAGATGTCATTGCTGTGAAATGGGAGCCAGAAATGTATGAGGTTGTTGTCTTTAGATGTGGTGAAGTGACAGTGAATGAGAAGCACTTCCAAGACTGAGGACAGGAGACTGAACGTGTGAAGGAATTTCCCGGGCACAGTTGCGACATTACATCTGAAGAAAAGGGCAATTATGGACAAAACCCTGCAAATTGCTGTTCATTTGAAAGTGAATTGAATGGTCATTGGAGTAACTGAAAATACTGTCATTTCAGATTTTCTTTCCTTTGTTGCTGGACACTCTTCCCTTGCACAGAAAATGTGTGAACGTAATCTTCAAAGCATTTTCCAAATGAGAGGGGAGGACGTTCTCATTAGTTACTTTTATATATGAAAAAAACCTTCACGCTTTGAAGTCTTAAAACCTCGAGTTCAAATGCATATGACACCCAGAACATCCGGTGGAGTGCGTGGACCTTTCAAATGCAGTTTAAAGAGTGACGCAGTTTGAGAACAATAAGTAAGCCTTTTAATGATCTTCTAGAAAATGCTTATAAATGTTTTGCAAATAAAGTTATACTCTTAAAGGGGAAATGATCCCAATGGCACAGACATAATGGGTCGAATGGCCTCCTTCTGGACTAAAACAAAATTTGTGTCTTTTCTTTAAACTCATGAGGACAATCGATAAGGTAGATGTGGCCAAGGATTTGATAATAAACTGGGGAAACATAAGCAAACAACATTTATGAATTTGGTTCAGAATCGCAGATAACTTGTTGCAGGGTGGTCAAACAGGTAAGTCTCGAGCCATATCCGGTCCAGCAGATGATTTTATCCTGCCCAAGACTATTTCTAACATCGGGCTGCCCGCGCTCTTCCTCCCCGATGAACCATCCTCTCATAGCAGTGGCAGGACTTATTGGAATAGGCTGTGAGGAATGGGGATAATATAATAATCCTTGCATTTGATATAGCGCCTTATCACAGCGTTGAGACGTCACAAAGTGCCTCACAGAAAATTCTGTAAAGTGGATTGTCTTTGTATTTTGTCGGCGAAACGCAGCAGCCAGTTGTGCACACCATTGTTCCACAAACAGCCATGAACTGAGTGACCAATTTTATTTGGGGGATTGTTGGCCAGGACACCGGGAGAGAGAAACTCCCTTCTCTTTTTGAATAATGACATGGGATCTTTAACATCCACCTGAACAGGCAGTTGGGACATTGGTTTAACGTCTCATCCAAAGGACGGCACCTCCGACAATAGGACACACTCCCAGCACTGCGTTGGGAGTGTCAGTTTAGACAATATGATTCCAAGTCCCAACATGGAGCTTGAACTCACAATTTTCTGACCCCCAGGCGAGAGTGCTACCACTGGACCAGGCTGACACAATTGGGCACTCATGAAGGAATGGGACAGATTCAAAAGGGGAGAAGAGTTATGAGTTTGATACCAAGGCAGGAAATAGACAGTGTAAGATCTGAATAAAAATGTCACATATTGTAATGTGTTTGGGTGGCTGCGGGTGGGGAGCGGGAGTCGTAATGGTTTAAATTTTTTTGTTCATCAAAGTGACTCAAGTCAACTCTGAGAATTGAAAGGTTTTACATTTTCCACACAAAGGAAAGTAATCAAGAGGAGCTAGAAGTAAATTACAGCCAGACATCCAATTGAGGGGTTCAGGATAGCTGGGAGTGAGTTAAAGGCTGGAAATGAACCTAGGGGTTTAATATACTTGGGTATGAATACAGGCTTGTATTAGAGAGGTTCAATATTACCTAGAAATGAATTGCAGGCTGAGGTGGAGCACTGACGTGCTGTTCTGTCCTACCTATTTCGTAAGCTGTACCTTGTTCATTTTTAGACAAGGGAGATGCAGGAAGCAACATTGAGGATGTTGTTCTGATTACTGTTGAATGATATTTCATTGTCTCCCAATGATTTAGGAGATATTGCTACTATTGATCTCAGATTCTCTGTTTTCAATAAGATCAAATGAAGGATAAAATCAAATGGGTAGAAGGGCCACCTTCATCCAAACCTCTCATGATCTTGTGAACATGGAAATGCTCCAGAACCCAGTTAAATGAGAAAGGGTTAAGCATTTCCTCTGCTCCACTTTCTCCTCTCTTGCATTAATAGATCAATTTGCTAACATTGAATGAAAGCACCAAGACAATTCTGTGCTAATTGAAAGTCTGAGTGCAGATATAATCTCAGTGAATAATTAATAGTCAAGCAGTTAGCTTTCAATGTTAATTCAAGCCCAAATTATAAATGTTACTTGGTTCTTAATAAAGAAAAATAGTTGGGTAAATATTTAGTTCCAGCCTTTATTGTTCTGGGAGTTAGAAATGTGCATGCGCACCTCTGAACCTAAAAAATAATTGGAGACTCGCAAGACAATCATCTTCCATTGGTTTCTTTATTTAGACTGCCTGTCACAGCAACATTGTCAAAATGGCTCAAAGATCTTACAAATGAAAATGAACGAGGCTGAAAAGCACAAAGCAGTGTGCAGTAACTGTATCATATTTGATACAGTTCACTCACTTCACTCCCCCCCCACCCTCCTCAGCAGCACCAGCAACACTTAAACTGGAAATGTGCTCTCTCTGAATATTAAAAGTGAATTATAATCATGCTGGTGTATTGTGACCTTTAAAAATGTTCAAAAACCCTGAAAAACATCAAGGAGTTGGGATACGTAGGAGTCTGTTATCAGGTGGAATGTAATCAAGAGTAACTAACTAGGAGTGAATTATAGCTAGCATCCAATCGTGGGGTTCAGGATAGCTGGGTGGGGGGGGGGGGGGGGGGGGGGGGAGTTAAAGACTGAAACTAAGCTAGAGATTTGATATACTCGGGAATGAATACAGGCTTGTATCAAATCGAGAGGTTCAATATTACCCAGCAATGAATTGCAGGCTGATATGTAATTGAGATATCCAAGGAAGCTGGGAGTAAGATGCAGGCTACAAACTAATTGAGTGGTTCAGGACTGATACTAACTGTAATATCCCAGCTGTTAACTCAGCTGATATCAGCACAGATCAGGGTTCAAACTTGAGACCTGGGTTTGTGTGGCTCAATTTCCCTGGAGGGAATAGATTTACCAACTGGTAAATTGGTAGAGCTAGAACCAACTTTTCATTAGTTCGGGGCATAAAACAAACTCCCAAAACAAGAAGAAAGATTTGGGGAAAAACACTTAAACACGAACGGCAATTATACTCTCGGTGGGCACCGTCCTACACAGAGTACTGTGGTTAAGAGGTATTGTCCCAAATAAACAGTCTATTTGTTCAGAGGTCTTCCTTGACTGTTCTCTTCTGGGCCTTATAGACATGAACGTCCTTCTCAGCGTCATAGTGAATTTCCTCAACGGTGAATAGCTCTTGAAGATTCCTCAGGAATGTTTCGTCCCGTTCGTATCTGATGCGACAGGCAAGTAGGATCGTCGTCCGTTCAGAACTCAGGTATTCCAGAGTCTCCAGCAAAGCAGGGAACGTCTCCTCCAGGTAAACAATGTCTGCCCCTAGTATCATGTCATAACTGCCTTGCTCAAACTGCTCCAGACTCACACCCCAGTTTAACTCTTTAACCTGTGCTCTGGGCAGGACGTCAGAGCTTAAGTTTTCCTGGACATTTGACTCTAAGAATTTTAGGGCTACATCTCTGTCTGTGATTGTCACCTTGGCACCTGTTTAGGGTCAACAGCAACCCACCAAACAAAGAAAAATAACACATTTTTACTTTTTTAAAAATAAATTAGGGAGAAATTTGGCATTCCTCGGCCAAGCAATGTTGGGAATCCTCAGATAGAAGCATAGAGAATCAGAGATTAGAGAGTAAGCACATGTATGTTCCATGTTTTTCCAATCTCCAACACACATCTTGTTATGATGCAGGAGACAGAGAGGTGTGCAATATACCCAGAAAGGATTGTACATAATGAATAATGTGAATAAATAATAACAATCCTGGCATAGTGTTTTTCATGTTGTCAAGGCATCGCAAAGCACTTCACAGAATACACTGTAAAGTGGATTGACTGTGTATTTTGTGAGAAAAACTTTGCAATAGTTGTCAACAGCAATGTTCCACAAACATCCATGGAGTGAGTGACCAATTTTATTTGAGGTATTGTTGGCCAGGACACCGAGAGAAACTCCCTTCTCTTTTTGAGTAGGATCTTCGGATGTATTGGGATCTTTAACGTCCACCTGAACAGACAGACGGGAAACTTGGTTTAACGTCTCATCTGAAAGACAGGTTGCATAAACTTGGTCTGTATTCCCTTGCCCTTGAGGGGTGATCTAATTGAGGGTTCTAAAATAATAAAGGGATTCGACAGGGTAGCTACGGAGAAATATTTCCTCTGGAAGGGGAATCCAGAACACAAGGGCATAATCTTAAAATTAGAGGTAAGCCATTTAGGAGTGAAATCAGGAGTCATTTTTTTCATACAAAAGTTAGTGGAAATATGGAACTCTCTCACCGAAAAGTCTGTGAATGCTAGAGGTGGATAGATTTTTGTTAGGTCAGGGTATATGGTAATTGGAGTTGAGGTAAAGATTAACCATGATCTTATAGAATGTCTAATGGTGGAACAGGCTCAAGGGGAAGAATGGCCTACTCCTGTTCCTATAAGAAGGCACCTTTGACAATGCAACCCCCCTCCCCCCCACCTCAGTGTTGCATTGGAGTGTCACCTCTGGGATTATGTGTCCCAACATGAGGCTTGAATTCACAACCTTCTGACTCTGCCAGAATACGGACATGACCAGGGTATCACTCTGCTCTGACATGTCTGGAGGGAAACTGCGTTGGAGTCGAGTGCCCACCACATCAAGCTAGTGTCAAGATTCCTTGCCCAGGCATAACACCCACCCACACACACTCTCCTGTCCCCTTCATGCCCTGGCACCTCCCTATCTCTCCGACCTGCTTAACCCCCAGCCTACTGTCTGCTCAACTGGCTCCAGCCTTCTGCATGTCCCTCACGCCCTCCATTCCACCATCAGTGGCCGCGCTTTCAGCCACTACGCCCCTAAACTCTGGAACACTCTTCCTCTATCCCTCAGTCTTGCCCCTTCCTTCCCCATCTTCAGGTCGCGTCTGAGAACCTTCCTCTTCGACCGTGCCTACAGTCACCTCCCCCTCGCCCTGGCGTGGCTTCTTGCTCTGCCACTGTCAAGCGCTGTCGGATGGTATATAAATGCAAGTTGTTTTTATTGTTGTGCAGAGGGTTTCTAGGATTCCTCGCAAATTGAGAATGGGAATCTGATGCTTTTAACTCCAGGCTGATTTCACAGCTGACTGGGTGAAAGCCAACACCTACCTAGCAATGTTGCGACGATTCCGACCAATCCAGTTCCAGCCCCCAGCTCTATAACATTACGATCTCCAAGCTGGAAAGCTCCCAGTTCCAGATACATGCAAAGCACCACTGCCTGCAACGCAAAGGAAGGACTGCTGTCAGCATCAGCTGTATTGTATGAAAGCAGATGAACCATGACTGGTGTATGATGCTCTTTTATACAACAGATGTGGAGTGGAAACTAGGTACTAACATATCAGGGCGTCGGCAGCAGAGACTGGAGCTGCTTTCCTACTTGTGTTTGTGTCCCTGCAGCTACTATGAGAAATTGTGGCTGTTTCTGGACGCTAACCCCAGCAACAGTCAATATCGTCAGGAGCGGCAGGGTAAAGGGAGAATATCAGAACGAATTGGAGTAAAGGAGAGAAGTTAGGTTTATGTAACAAATGATGGTTCACATTAAAAACTGGGACTCCGCTCCCCCAAAACCATAGTATACTTAAGCGCTCTGAGACGCTATATACATGCAAGTTGTTGTTGTTATACTTACTGCGTCCCACACCACCGCTGCTACCCCAAGTTGCTTCCAGTCCTGTCGGATCACAATGTCCCGCTTGGCAAAGTGAAATGTTGCAGATGACTCGTGGAACTTCCGGAGCCCTGGCAACATGGCACCATCGTAGGGAAGTAAAGCCATTCTAGCGCCGGTTCAATGATCACCCGGACTGCAGGCAGACAGAGGAGGAAGCTGAACAAACTCTCTTTCAATATTAAACTGTTTTTGATAAAAAGTCTTCTCCATTACTTGCAATTGTCAGCAACTGTTGGAAGGCAAATAGAAGACCCAACTCAATATGAGTTTGACGTTCGTTCAAAAAGCTTATCAGACAGAATGCTAGTACATCTCCTAATTTGATCAATTTTGTGTGCAATGATGTAAGTGGATACATTTTATCTCGGAATAATTCTGAGGTAGACATTTGTTGTGAGGCACCCTGTTCTTGTTAACAGCGGGAAGTATTTCTTTACACGTTGGGGAATCCAACAGCTGAAACATAAGTTACCAGGAAGCGATAAGTTACCAGCCTCCTGGACTCACTTAAGAATCAGCTTGATGGTGTCATGGGAAGATGGCAGGGTAGGTATTCTGGAAGGACGAGATCAAATGGACTGAAGGGTTTTCACCATCCCTAGCCTCTTTCGTGAACAAACAGAACACTTTGCATTCACTGCGATGGTTGATGCATGCACTGGCATATTGGGCCATTCACTGCAGTACTCACTGGCACAGTATATCGAGTGCATTCACTAGTGCATTCACCACCTCAGTGTATCATTGTATTCATCTGTGTGGGGTATTTTTTAAAGTGCTTCGAGACAGGCGTTACCATATATATGCAAATTACTATTCATCCATTCACTTTCATTTGCATATCTGCCTGTGCTGGCTTTCCTGCTGGAGAACAGGCGTATTGCCAGATAGAGCAAGGAGTCAGTTTAGTGGATTATGTGGCACGGGAGTGAGCTCTGGAACAAGAAAATTTGAACTTGCTCTGAAAGGGTCAGTCTGAATGTGGATTTACCAATGAAGCCAACCATGTAATTTAATAAAGTTGTCATAGAGGCTGAAGATATTTAAAATTTCTATATCCCTAATCTTTCAGCACTGTAAATATTAATATGGATATGAATAAATGTTATCAGTGCTGCCATACGGCCTCATCTATTACCTGCTGCTAACAAAGTCATACTTCCTTGATCAATTTCCTTCCTGAACTAACAACTTAAAAGTATATTTAGACTTGCAATCTCAACGAGTCATTGGGAGGGAAATGAGACAAATTATTGAAACATGCTTTTCTTGGCTTATTAAGCCAAGGCAGGTCTGGTCTGGGGATTTTAAAGGGCAGTTAATTAATCCCCATTCTTACATTATCCAAATGTTTGAGCAATAAAATTAATGTTCTGTACCTTACACACAAGATGTGCAAAGACAATCGTATTGACCTCAGCTCCACATGCATTTCCCACCAGGGGGGCTAGATAGCAATCTGAAGCACAAAGCCTTTTTCACACGCACACCCTTTCCCCAACCCTATCCTTCCTAGCCCAGGGGTATTAATTTCAATTATAGCTTTCCCTGCTGCGGTCACTAACCGATCAAAGATCAAATCTGGGACTATCCTGGTCTCTGTGGCTCAGTTTCACACTGAGCAGTAAATTTACCAACTGAGCCTTGGCAAACAAGTAGCTTTTAGATTTTACTTTAACAGATGCTGTTTATTTTTTTCAACTTTTACGCAGTAGAGTAGCAATAAGAAACACTTAAGTGAAAGACTCCAATGCTGCATGCAACCTTGCAATATGGCATATAGTAACGGTGTATAGTTAGCAAATCAACTATGCTGTTGGCGGGTGGGGGGGATTGGGGAATGAGTTTATTTAAATCATTAGCCAGTCACTATTGGGACTGTGTGGAAGGTTCGACTGAAGTCAGAAAGCTGGCAAAAATACTTTGGTGAGATTAAACTTTTTAATCCGTTAACCTCTGTCCTTTCTTTATTTTCCTTTAAATACTTAGGCCCTTATATTCACCTACAAATACAGTCACTGAACTTTATAGTAAATGCTTTGAAACAGTATTTTGTCCAACCTTTCTGAAACATGCTACATGGTGCAAGCTATCATCACAGTGAAAATATCATGGAGCTTACATGTCTCTTATCCTTCTGACATCCAAAATGGGCTTTGCAGCCACTTAATGAATCATGATCAGGACTGGGAACCCTGGGCTGATTTCTCTCCCATGTTATCCCACCTATATAACACCGTAGTGTGCTTAATTCAGCCTGGCTGAATCCAGCTAAATCGACCCCGCTCCATCAGTGAAATGTGGGACCTTCCACCACTGTATGCCACACTTCGCAGTGCGCATTCGCAACTCAGCCATTGGGAGTGCTCCAGCAACTATCTGTCCAACCTGTCCGATTTGTGAAATCTTTTTGCAGTATTTATCGATTTTTGCTGTATTTATCAACACTGCAAATGCTGAGATCTAAAACGTCAATTTCAACAAAACGTGCAGCGTAAATGATGAGGAACATGCATTGGTGATTTATGTGTAAAAAATTACTGCAACGAGGCAGTCAAGTGTCCATCTCCATATTTGTTTCCCTGCCTGCAAACTGCACAGTCACCACACTTTACAGTTTATCCCGTGAAGTGCTTTGAGATGTCATCCCAACATGAGCGGCGCTATATCAAATGCAAGCGCTATTATTATTTGGACTATTCTTGCTCCGTTGATAAACTTTCTTTCTTTTCCTGATGACTTCTGAATTTCCCTGAAAATCTATCATGCGGCCAACAGAGAAAATAGTTTTCTTGTGCTCACGTGATGCCCACCCCAAACGCAGTTGCCAGGAAGTGACCGGTTTGCAATTAGCTGCAGGAACCCAACCTGACCATTTTTACTTTCCCCTCCAGATATTTCCAGTAAATCTACTTACTGTATCTCGTTACGAGAGAACCAGCGGAATAGAATTGGTAGGATGGGGCGAAGAAATCTCTGCAAAGAGGCAGGCAGGAGGCAGACATATGCATATCCTTGGATTTGTTTGATATTTTTATCGTCGTCCCCCCACCCTATCATCTAGTGATGGGGGGTGGGTGTGTGTGGGGGTTGGGTGCTACTTATTCTGCACAGCAATTCCGAGTGCGACTAAACCCGGATTGCGGTAACCGCGTCCCAGTATAAAATCAGTCTTTTGGGCAGTGATGCAAAAAAATACAAAAAAAATCCCAAATTGCTCCTTGTGTTTAAAAACACACACACACACGTTTTTTTCTTCATTTGGAAAAAAAAGCCCCTCCCTTTCCCTTGAAATAGCCTGTGGGGCTGTGTGTAAGGGATTGATGTCATCAGTTTGTCTATGACAGATCTGATTTTGAGTTTTTGCCCCCAAACAAATAAACGTGGGCGGGACTTTAACAAAAAGCCCCTTTAATTCACACCAGAGAGGCGCCGGGTGACTGACGGCGGAAGCGACCAATGGGGGTGAGCGGAGGCCGGTGATTGATCGAGCCAGTCTGACGTAGCCTGCCGTGGTTGGTTGGTTGGTTGACTGGTGGGCGGGGCGGAGCGGGACGTCCGGCGGGCCGAGGGGGCGGAGCCTGTTGCCATGCCGGGCTCCGGCGAGGAGGCGCAAAATGGCGGAGACGCATCAGGCAGTGAAATGAAGCCAAGGAGGCCGCGGGGGTGAGCGCGCCAAGAGGGTCGGGGGCTGCAGCTCGCCGACGCCTTACAGGACGACACGCGCCGACTTTCCCCCTTCACCTTCTTTCTCTCTCGAAGGCGGCAACTCCGTGCGTGAGTCGCGCCCCCTCCCCCGTCCTCCTCCTCCTCCCCAACCCCATCCCCCCCTCCCCGGTCTCCTCGAGGACGCGTTTAAATAACCGCTCCAGGCCCCGGGCCTCGGGTTAAATTTATTCTCTCTCTCCCTCCTCCACCCGCTTCTCTCCCCACCGCCGCACCTCAAAAGCTGGGACGATAGCTAGCGATGGGGAATACGGCGTCTTGCTGCGTGTCGCCGGGGGGCAGCCCCAATTCGTCGAGCCGGAGCGGAGTTCGGGGCCAGGAGCAGCGGCTGCAGGAGCGGTCCGACGCTTATCGAGTGGAGGCGGAGCTGAGGGAACCCGAGCCCGGCCCCGGAACCAACCTGCAGCACATCAGCGACAGGGAAGCGCCGGAGGGTAAGCGGGGCCGCACCGCACCGCACCCGACGCCGCTCTACTCCTAATTGATGTGACGATAATAATCCTTGTATGTGATACAGCGCCTTATCACGTCGTCCAGGCGTCTCAGAGCGCTTCACAGGTTACCCCGTAAGGTGAAGTGACTGTATTTTTGTGAGCGAGACGGGCAGATATTGCTCGGCTGGAGAGTCGCACAAGGAAGTTTTAATGGGATTATTTGGGCAGATCGGTCTATTAATATCCCCTGCAGCTGCCTCCTAATCCTGGTGCGAAAATGTTCATTGGTAGATGTCATGTTTGGATTTTTATTTGGCGGTGGGGGTGGGGGGGGGGGAGAGTGATCATCGCATTCTGCACCCTTGTCCCGCACTCCATTCCAGAAGCACTCCCTTCTCCTCCCTCAGTTAATGTGCCATACTTAGTTTCTCTATTAACTACTCCCTTTAATAAAAAAAACCATCCCAGATTTGTTTAAATGGGCTGCGATCGCTCTCGAATCTCGTTCCTGAGATTTATTTGATCATGATGTCTCTTGAGAGAGGACAAAGTGTTTATATTGAACGAATGTACTGAAAAGTTCAGGTGACAACGTAAACCAACGGAGTGAAGATCAAAGTGCATTAATCCCTTGAAATGTGCATCAAATCAAATGCGAGGATTATTATTCTACATTGTGAATACTGGTGGAATTTGGGGTGGGACTGACTCGCTGTTATTTTCAGCAGCTATTTTTGAACTGCAGTATTAGATTATTGGGTGCCATGGAGGTTTTGGTTTGATGCATGCCAGGGTACAACATACCCTGAATTACATATCCATATGTGACGATGTCCTGTAACCAGGAACAAGATTCATAAAGCCAACACCTGTCAAAGGTTTAGATGATGTAATAAACAGCAAGAGCAAAATTTGAGCAGTTTGAAAATATCATCTCCCCCCCATGCAGTTTGTGGCTAAGAATATGCTTTTGTGAAGGAGTGTAATACGCTTTTGTAAAAGAAGATATTTTGAATTCGTTGAAGGGCATGAACCTTTTGATATTCTTTCCCCCGCTACCACTTTTTCTTTGTCTGTGTTTCTCATAGGATGGGTGGTTTATTCCTGCAGCAGTGCTCGTACTGCCCTTTGGCTAGCTGCCACAAAGTGTACAACAGTGGCCAAGTGACAACACCTCTCTTATGTCCACTGTGGATTAAATTGAGTGGTGGATTAGACTTGATTCCTCTGACCTGCAGAGCTGCATTTTGGCACACTCAGTTAGTTATACCTCTCTCCAGTTTCTATTTGTGATTTTCTGTATCCAGATCCTCAACTTTTTTTTTCCTTTCTCTCCATCTCTCTCACTCTTTTAAAATCTGCTGCATACACAATTTGTGAATGTCACATTCCAAATCTCTCTCCAGACAGCTGTGCATTTATGAGACAAACTTTGTTCATTTATTATAATACAATTTAAATTTATATAATGTCTCTCATGTCAGGAGGACATCTCAAAACGCTTGATAATGTTGGCTGGGCATCCAGCCAGAAATAATAATTCTCCTTTGAGTTGAAGCTGCAGTTAGTTCATTTTACACTATTCATAAACTAGCTGTTAAATATCCCCAAGCATCTTCTGTTCAGAGACAGATTTATGTATAAATAATTTTAGAAGTATTTAGTTAGAATGCTGGTTTTTGCAATCATAATCTGAACATTCAATTCACTGAATATTGTTGTTGTTCCTCACTCAGTTTTTTAAAATGCAGAATTTACAAGCACCAAAATGAATAAATTTAGTTAAAAATTAGACTCTTGAGTATTAAATAGAATAGAGGTAAATATGCTGAATAATGCAGTGATTTCCTTCACATTCACTCAAAGGCTAGAAATGGAAGATCACTTGCAACTTGAAGTGTTCCTCTAAGATTATAAATAAGCATACTGTAATCTCGGTGTCACAGATAAAAAAGAAAGGCTCATTTGGAATGTTGGGCCAATGAACTCCTTCAGAACATGTACTGTTGTCATGTGAAGTTTGACCTGTTGCTCACACAGCATGTTCAGATCCAAAATAGTCTAAATAACAGTTTTGTTTTCACATAGCAATTTTACTGATGGGTCTAAAGGTTAATAATTGCCCAATTAATTACTAAATATCTCAAAATATATAACCACCAAATCTCAATTTATTTTAAAAGGATTTAAAACTATTCAAACAATTTGTAGAAATCTAATATAGTATATATCTTGTTGACACTAACGTTAGTTAGTTAGACTGGCTCTCTAATTATCAAAAGTGTTTCTGCTTCTTCCTATGGCAAGTTATTTAAATGGGGCTTTCGTTTTCAGTGTACGGGGATTTTTAAGAATGGAATGTATGGTGCTGATTTTGAAGCCGGTGTGGGTTTTCAGGTGCTGCTTTCCAGGATATTGATGTAAAGTTATCTTGTAAAGTAGCGTTGAAACTCCCAATCCAATATCGAAAACATCCACGCGGCATCAAACTCTTCCAAGAATTGTCCATGCCATCTTTGAAGTCCATTGGGTACTATTATTGGAGCCCGCACTTGCTGTTATTAATAATATATTTAGTCCTTGATGCATGGAATTTCTTGCATTATTCAAACATTACCCAATTGGGTAAAAGTCTCACTCTAATGAGCGTAGGTCAAAAAACATTGAGTGTTCTCAAAATTGAAGTTCTGTAACTACATTAGACGTTTTGAAAGGAAAATAATTTTTTGTGTGATACTTAATTTGGGAGGAAGCTCTTATATGGGCCATTTGAGGGCATTCGTCCTGTTATTTTGTGAAACCAGTCCAACAGGCGATGAAGGAACTCATCGGATTATATATGCTTACAACTTCAGATGCATTGATAATTTTTTTTCATCCAGTCTTTTCTTGTCCCTTTCTCCTTTTTATTTAGATCTGAACTTTGAATCTAATCCATCTGACCACCCAAGAGCAAGCACCATCTTCTTAAGCAAGTCACAGCCAGATGGTGAGTTTGTGAATGTTTCGTAATAGTGATTCTGCGGTGCCATTAAGTGTTCATTTTCGGTGCCCATTTGGAGGGGGGAGAAGATACAGTACAAAATTACATTTGTAAAGCACATTTCACGTTGGGAGGATATGTCCCAAGGCGCTGAACAGTCGGGGATTAGCACCCGAGCAGGGAGGTTGGGATCGGGTGGTGGAGGGTAGGAGGTGGCTGAAAGCATGGTCGAAGAGGAGGATCTTGAGATGTGCCGTGAAGGAGGCAAGGGAGGGAGCAAGATGAAGGGAATGTGGCATGGAGTTCCAGAGGGTGGGGCAGAGAGTCTGAAGGCCCAACTTTCAAGCTTCTGAAAGCATGGAGCAGGCCGAAGCCCGCTGAGCCGAGCGAACGGACAGGTTGATAAGGGTTAGCAAGTCGGAGAGGTAGGAAGGGGCAAGGCCATGGAGGGCCTTGAAGGTGAGAACGAGAATTTTAACCTCAAGATGTTGCTGTTCCATCACAATGTCATTGAACAAACCATGTGAGCTTGTGTTGATTCTGTTGTTTAGCTACTAGGATGTGGGAAAAAATCTTGCATTGGTGCTGTTCAAGCTTCTGAAAGCAATGTGAAAATTAAAATAGGAATAGCTGTTTTGTTACTCGAGGTGATGAGGCTTTAGCTTATGTGTGAGTGGTGGAATTCATGAACATTCGAAAGTACTTTTTTTTTCCTCTAACTGCTAGTTAACGGATGATCATGTATTGCAGTATGTCCTTTGGGCTACTAGTACTTTGATGTAGTGTTAGCTTCTTGCATGCATGTTCTAGACTGGTATCTGTTTCTAGCATTATAATCCAAAGTTAAGATATTGAAGTATAAGTTTTGGTTTGACGTGCATTGACTTCTGCACAACGTGTTCTACGTGTCTCCTTCAATGCAGTTGTAGCTGAAGATGAACTTTGCCTTGCAGTTATGGTGAAATTTGCTTGCGTCACCATTTCAAACATTGACGAGAAATGAATTCAGGATGTAAGTGGGTTGGGACAGTTCTTGCACTGGCCAAGTCTGATAACTTGCAGAATCAGCACAGGATTGGGTGGGTGTAGATCAGGAGTGAAACTCCGCTACCCAATTCATTTAACCTGGAATTCCAATTCAGTGTTGTCATCTGGTACTTTGGGGCAGATGTGCAAAAGGAAAGCTTACAATTACTCTCTCCCTGTATCAGGTTTGCTAAAGAATATTTATAACTTGCATGTTAGACAATTTTCCCTACTCTAAAGACCCAGCAACCAAGTGTATGAGACCCCCAGTCCTAGTCACAGCCATATTTGACTGACTGCACTTAGCTACTATGATGCTGTATATACAAAATGTTTACCAACTTGATTTTTGTTTTATATTTGGGCTGAATTATGTCCTGGTGAAGATGATGACCTCCTTATCTTGAAAATTGAACACTTAATGCATTTCACCAACAGCAATAACATTTTTTTTAGCACTCTCCTTGTAGAATAACAACGCTTTCAACCAATGTTAGTGTCAGGTAGAACAGGTTAGTGTCAGGGTACAGCTCCTATTGTCACATTGTTGGCATTTGAATGTTGACCCATGGTAACCTTGTATATTTTCACCTGTAGGAGACGACTCATCCATAAGACTGGGCTTAAAACCTCAGCACCCAGGGGTGGAAGCCCAATTTTAGACTTGTTGTCAGCCAGTCCTAGTAATTAACAGTTTTGAATGTTAGTCGCCTATGTGATATTCCAGCACAAACCATACTGAAACTGTTAACTTGCATTTCATTTGCTTTGATCTGACTTAGCATTGCAGGCATCTTACTGCAAGAGACACCTACGCAATCTGCAAGATCCTTTCACTAATAAACTAATGTTTATTAATGAATGTATCACCTCAAATTGGGTTGTGGAAATTGTACCTTTTTCTTTCTTCCTCCCCACATTTTCTTATATTCCAAGTACTTCACTAAATATGTTTGCGATTTGAGACGCAAAGGGGCCTTTTAGTTGCCTATTTCATCACTGAGATGCAAATACTTAAACAACCTTTACATTTGTTTGCCTTCAGAGCTGTCTGTCAACCATAAAGGTATGACCAGGACTGCAGGCTCCAATCTGACAGCGACCTGGGGTCCTGGGTGTCAGGGTGACCAACAGCTCTGCAGGTAAACAAATGCATCAGTATTTTTTTTAACCTTGTTCTCAGCATTGACTCGAGTTTTTTTTGAAAAAACTTTTCTTGTTGCAATAAAGTGTTGGTTTACTCCACTTCCTCTTGAGTTCACATTTTGTTGTGGATCGAATTTTAAGATTCTAAGATTAAATACGTGTTAGTTATTTCTGTAGGACAATTAACGTTGGTGTACTGTAATCATCACTCACAGCCAAGTCTGATCCCGATCTCATCCAGTATTTTCTGGAAGGTGGGAACTAAATACACCTAAGCCAGCTGGACTAATGGCAGGAAGATGCGATCCGGTGAGCGGGAATTTCCGACTAAGTGTAGTATCTAAGTGTATTGCCGGTACCGGTATTGTAATTATTTGAATCCTGGAGCAGAATATAGTGTATTTGCTATCTTCTGCTCGCAGGATTCAAACAGTCTGAGTTAAATATTGATATCCCTGACCGGTGTGAAGGCCAGCAAGGATGGTGAGGCTCTCAGCGCTGTGTTGGAGCATACTAGGAGAATTGGGCTGGCAGGATTCTACACGTGCCTGTAGATTTTTTTTTAAATGTTTTGGCGTGGGGCCTGGTCCAGCTCGCTACAAAATCCAGATACCCACAATCCTGTAAGCCGAGGTTTACTATTGCCTTCTGCCAATAAAAAACTTGGCCATCTTATTTTTTTTCTCAACCCTTTCCTGCTACAACTGGCACTGAGGCCAGTTGTAGTTCCCTTACCAGCTGACTCAGATATGCATTGAGACCTGGACCTTCCTAGTCTTTATGGTTCAGTTTTACATTAGGCAGTTGCTTTACCAACAAAGCCATAGGGTAATATCCCATACAGCATTCTCAAAGGAATTGCTCAGTTATTGGATTTTTCCACTTTGTATGCATCCACTTATTTTTTATTTCCCCCCTTCCACAACCACTTTATCAAAAAATCCATTGTATTCAACATACTTGTACAACAAACTATAACTCTTTGGTATCTTAAGTGCCTGAACTGTTGTGCACAGAAATTTTGTGGCTCCTGAATAAAGCAAATTGAAATGCCTATACTCTGAAGCAGTTTGGATTAACTTGTAATCTCCTTTGTCTAAAACGCAAGGCATCTGATGTAAAACAACTGAAGAGACTGCCTGGATAAGGTTTGAAAGACAACTGTCTCAAGGACAGCTGTTTTATTGGCAGTATCCATGTCAAATTGGAGGTATCCAAATGGGACTGTGTGTACAGCTCACTGCTGAACTTCAGTGATCCACACAGATCAATAATCTGAACCCTGGTTGATTCGCAGTAATAAGTGATTTAAAAGGTTTTATAAAAATGAATCTTGACTAGCTCCATCAATGGCCTGGTGGGTAAAAGCACTTCCTGGTGCAGTACTGGACAGGACAGAAGGTCGCAGACTTCATGTGTATTCTTCTGCGAGTTTGCTTTTCTAAGACAGGCCAACAGTTGGGATGTTAAATTGGAATCGGCTTACATGAGTTAGCATGGGCAGTTTAGTCTTCCTTCCTCATCTTCAGATCACGCCTGAAGATCTTCCTCTTCGATCGTGCCTACGGTCACCTTCCCCGACTCAGTATCGTGCTCCGCCACAATCAAACACTCTGTGACTCTACCCTGTGTGAGGGACGCTATATAAATGCAGAGTTGTTGTTATAGTCCTGACCTATTCAGGCAGTAGACTGTACTTTCACATTTTTTTCAGGTGTGGTTGGTAAATCAGTCCAGTCTGTTGATGCGAAAGTGATGCCGATAAATGGTTTCTGAGCATTTTTCTTCAAAACTAAACCTCAGTTACCACCAAATGTCTTCACAGAATCCTAATTGCAGAAGGAGAATATTCATCCCATTTTATGTGTAACCAGCTAGGTCTCAACTATCATTTTTATGCCATTTTGCTTTCTACCTACAGACATCTCTTTGGATCCTGTCAGATTGCAAATTTGGTTTTGTCACTCTCTACTGATATTTTGCCCCTTCACTTCCTCCATTTGGTTGACAAAAATTCTCATAATGAATCTTAGTGTTATACAATGCAGTCCACAAAATACTGCAGAAGTATCTGTATGTTACTTGACCCAACAGTCTACGTATTGTGTTCTTGTCTGCAGAGGATATCTTGTTCACACTGTTTGTTTCTAATCAGTGTAATGTAATTAATAATTTTCTCTGAGCTAGCAGCTTATCTTGAAACTAATGTCCTGGGCACTTACCCTTATGTAAAAGACTGTTTACCTTTATAAATTGATTGTATTTTTCTATGCCACAAGTTTATTTGACTGAGCAAGTTTTAAATTAGATTTTTTGTTTACAGTGAGAGAGAAGAGGAAGAGCAACCACATAAATCACGTAAGTGCAAACTTTGCTTCTGCTAGTTCAGTGGACGTGAGTAATTGCAAAGATGTTTTTTTTTACAGAAGGTAACTGAGAAATATTTGTCAAGTTTAACTTTAATTGTTGAAGGCTGGGGTTATCTCATCCTATATGTTGGTTGAGTAGTCTCCTGGGGAAGTTGAACCAGCTTCTAGGTGGCAAAACAATCTTTCGCCTGAACAAAAAAGATCCTGTATTATCAGAGACAGTATTCTGTGTGCTGTCTACCAAGAGTTATAGATTGCAATATCTTTTTTATGATTAACAATATGTGGTGGTGCGTTTTGCAAGAATATAGTCACTTTAGGAAGCTTATCCTCTTAGCAGATGTGACCCACTTCACTAAAAGGTATCTTCACCCGTAGACGTCTGCTCTCCTCGGTGACTACCGATGAAGCAGGTTCATCAGCTCCATGTCTACACTGAGTTAGTTGATCTGAAAGTCAGAGCAATGGTGGGATGCTGCAATTGCTGCTGTTTCTGATTGCAATCCAATGATCCTTGCTGCAAAGATGACATTGAACCAGGACAGTATCAGACTCAACTGATTGAATGGTCTTGCATCACTGACTGTCCAGCCTCACATGAAGAATGGCCACTTGGACGACGTACGGAAAGGCTGTTAAACCATAAAATTAACTGGGAGAGGGAGAAAGTAGGAGTGCTGGGCGGTAGGTGGGGAAGCAATAATTATTTTTAAAATCTGGTATTATCATCTTCATAGATACATAAGTTTAAATGAAAGTCAGCTGGTGAAAAGTTTTGACAAATTTAGTTATTAAATAAAATGTACTTTTTTCGCTGTCTATGCACTCGCATCTCAACCCACAGAGTTGCACTGCCATTTCCAAGAATGCACAAGCATTTGCATCATATGCATCATTGTCATGTTGTAAAATAAATCCCAGTTTTTCTCACAATTTACCCCATTTTATGTTAAATATTCTCCTTGAGTTTTTTTTTGACAGAAAAAAATACCCCAAAATGAACACAGGTTTTATTTCACGAATGGTTTCATTGGGCAGTTGAGGCAATTGTGGATACTCATCACCGTGCTTAAGAGTATCCAAATATGCCACCTACATATAGAAATCTGTGTGTCAGGAATGCCCACTCTCTCCCTAGAGGAATGCATTCTTGAAATCCTGTTATCGAGCTTCAAAACACGTTAGTGTTACAATAGCATTTGAAGCACAGCAATGCAATTTCAAGCTTTCTGCGCACAAGCTGTCGCCTTATGTTCGGATCTTACTGTGCTTAGACCTGAAGTATGATGGGATTTTGGTGCCACCTAGTGTTCAAAATACTTACTGCCTTAAGATTGGGATTTAAAGAATAGAGGGAAATCTCATTGTAACTGCAAAATGCATTTATATAGTGCCTTTCACATCGGGAGAACGTTCAAGTATATGGGCGACCCAGTAACACCCTTTGATGCAACGCTGCCTTGCTTATAAGATGGGTGGGCAAAATACACTGATGTCAAACCATGAAAGTCAATCCTTTTATGACAATTGTACGGTTAGGTTAGGTTATGAATCGGGAGAATAGTGTGAGCTTGCGCAATTCATTGTGTGGGAGCTGTTGCCAGCTTTCTGCACACACGCATCCCCTGTGATGTGCCGAATTTGAAAGCTTCAACCCCCAGCTGCTGTTCACCGCCCTTGCCTATCACATGGGTTGGAATTTCCTGTACCCAACAACCTTGTTATAGTACGGTTCCCCTGCAGTTGGTTTCAGAAGAAAGAGGTACCACTACCCAGGAGAGCAGGTAAACTGTTCACACTGTTGCTGCTGGATGTAGTGACCACTTGCTCTCAGTGGGGAGAGAGCTGATGTGTATGGAGCATGGAAACATAGAAAGTTTACAGCACAGAGGAGGCTATTTGTTCCATTGTATTTGCAGGTATGAATTTCCCTCTGAAACTATCTAATCACATGCTCTTTAATATTTGTTTTAAAGTATTTATCCAGCTTCCTTTTAAATTCTGCTAATGGACTCTGCTTTAAAAAGCCATTTGAAGTAAAACATTCCATAGCTCTCTGCACAGAGAGTGGTTTCACTTCACTGGTTTAACATTCCATTGGTGCATACTTATACATGATAAACCAGCGTGGTTTTAGCCTGTTTAATTTTGTTTCTGATGGTTGGTGTCTATTCTGTCTGGTATTCTCTGCAAAAAGTAAGTGGTCGTGTTGTCAGTGTAGTTAATTGATCCAGCGACGCATTCGTTTTGTAAATGTCTGAACCATTATTTGTTAAAGTCTTGATTGTTTTTATTAAGTGAGGGTAATTATTCCTGTTTCTCTTTCCCACTTCTCTGGTCTTCTCAGGTTATGCGCCAACTGCAGGTGAGAGGGTAGATAGGTAACCCATTTCTCAGCCTCCTTGAGTGCCACTGAACTGGATGCAACTGCATTACATCGCATGAGTGTTTTGTAGTGTCAACTTGTACGCACGGAATGTTAATTCAAAAACCATTGTCAGCTGCTAATAGATTTTTCCATTGTTTGTAAGCAGTTTGTTTGCATGCAGTTCCTGTTTCCATGCAAGCAAATTGGTTTCTAACTGTATCTGTTTAACACTGTCTGGCATTCTTTATGGAAACGTCCCGCACCAGGCTTTGACTGGTACCATTGATTCCATCACAGGCAAACCGTTCAATGTCCCATTTCATTGCCTAATTATCTGCAAACTTTGTTATCGTTAGACTGGAGAAAAGCAGAACAGGTGACCTTTTTTTATAAAATGCATTGTGTTAGCACCAAGTCACCAGCTCTACTTTTCCCCAGTCTAGGTAACGAGATTGTACAGTTCAGGTAATGAATGGGATATTGCACAGCTTATCTATGGTGACATTCGAGCTGCTAGTCACTCGGTGTGCTGTATTCTGTGCTGGCTTTATAATTCTGCTCCCTGTAGTGGGATCTTCAGTTTTGGTAGAGCAAACTAGACAGTGCTGCTGCCTCCAGGAGGTTCTTCACCACCAAAATAACCAATATGTATGAGAACCTTAGTGTGGCAAGCTAAGCAGAATTACTGGTTTTGCCAGTAAAAGTGGCCAAGCCTTGGATCTGCTTGTGCCAGCCATTGATTGAACAGTATAAGAGGCCCCAGCAAAAAGTTTCATCAGCTTTATATCACACTTTGACCTACACTTTAATGTTATGCCTCATTGCTATAGAATAAATCTGCAAAATATACAGGCTGGTTTCTACAACCCTGAGGGCTCCATCGGAGTACAGGACTGCTTCCTGTACTACAACAAAGTAATTGTACAAGCAAATATAGCATTAAAGGGAGTTGGGACAGCCAGGAATCCAGGATACTAAATGCTCAAGAGTTAGAGGCCTGTTTAAATTAAATCAGTGGTGCACTTAAAGGGGTTCTGTACTATTCTGTGTTCTTGGTGCTATGGAATTTCACTTCACCGCTGATGATACCAGTCGGTGCTGAAAGTTTAGATTTGCGACGTTGTTTCTGGCTGTTTAATGTTTCCCAGAGGCTGGGAAGGACTGTATGTTTCCAGTGATGAGAAACACCCATGCACAGCAGATTGAGCACTCTGCTTACCCAAGACCACCAATAAAGAGTGCTGGAGGTGGGGCTTACATTGCTACTGCCATCTCTGGTTGAGTTGGGCTGGTGCTGAAGTCAGTTGCTTAGGTAAATTCCGTCTCAAGGGAATCTAGGCACTGATCACGTTGAGTCCTACTGAATCTGGGTACAGTCACCTGAGATTGTTCATCTAGCTCCTAGGAGACTATAGTATCAACAAAGGGGGTCGCCAGAGATCTGGAAGCAGCTTGGCTGTATTTACCTCTAGAGTCGAGATGGAACAGGAGTGAAATAAGAGTAGAAAATACAGTAATGGGTTTGGGTTATTAAAAAGGAGCAGAGCAATATTTCTGATCTGCTCAGCAGTTTGTTTCCCAATATGCAGTGTCCTAAGTTCTTTTCAGTCACATTGAGAAGCATTTCTCTTTTTTGCAGGTATCCCCGGGTCAACTAAGTAAAAAGTACAGCTCGTGTTCTACAATATTTATTGATGACAGCACTGTTAGCCAGCCTAATCTGAAAAGCACAATTAAATGGTAGGTGGTTACTGTTGATTTGTTTGAGATTTTTGTATTGGTTTGTGGAGATCTTTTCAAGCACTTTCTAAAACCTTGTATTTTCATACTTTTATCTTGTAAAACAAATTGCATTCAAATTAATCATTCCGATTGGACCTATTTTCATGCAAATGTTGATGAGAAGCAGGTTGGTCTCATGTTATTGTGGCCAGTATTCCTTACTGATTATGAAAGTTTTACAGTATAGAATACTGCAATGAATTTTTTAAGTTATAACATACTGTCGTCCCTCTCCCCCCCCCCCTCCCAATTCCACCAACCCACTAGGACATTCTAAAACGTGATTGATATCCATGTTTTTTATCTCAAATTGCAACATTTCTTATAAAGTACCAAAAAAAAGTCAGATTGCTTGTCCAATCCATTTTCCTGTATATTCCTCCCGATGTGAAAGTCTCCTTATAAATGGTACTTTGTATTATATATTGAGGTGCTGTTCTATACCGAGCACACTGCTTTTACCATTTCTGTATTCTATAAATAAGCTTCATTTTGTACTGCCTGTACACAGTCCACCTTCTCTCTACTTCTCTAGAAGGGAATGGAGACAAGAGAGGTGATGTGTTGAATTAGTCCAGTCTTAGGAAATGGCATAAACGTATACAGTAGTTTGAAATCTGATTTGAATTATACAACTTCAATTTTAATAACTTTCTTTCCTTACAGCGTTACGCTTGCAATATATTATCACACAAAGAACAGGTAAATATTTTTCTTTTTCTCAAAATGCTTCTAAATGCCACCAATTATCCAGTATCTTCTCATATCAACCAGATTTGCAATACTACAATAAATGGATTTTCTCCAAAATGTCAATGTGTTATGGAGTGCTCTGGTTATTATTGATTGCACTGTTTGTTTTCAGGAGGTTATATGCTATAATTTGAACACTCGATTTATGCCTTTGGGTTCAATTAACCTCTTGAATAGCTCCCTGTGACTTTAACAAAGCACTGATAACTATATGGGGCATTCTCCATCATGTCTTGCGTTCAAGCAAAAATAATAATAGAAATGTTTCCTTTTTACCTAGAAGAAACTGAAATTAATTGTTCCGAAGACTGATTTCATGCTTTTAGTAGGGAAATGAGAGTACAAGGGAGGGAGCCTTTAAAGAAACTGTTTACAATTCCAGGGGTGATATTCAGGTTGATATTTGTGTCTAGTTGGATTTCAAACTCCAACCTGTTCATGTGGTAACATTCTGCATCGTCAACAAGTTTAAAAATATATTTTTAAAGGAAAGTGCTATCAATGTCGTGCGTCACCTTTATGTCTCGCCTGCGGTATAAGCTTTTGCATTGTTGATGATATTTTTCAGTTTCCACAATGCAACACTTGTTGGGTAATGTATTTTTAAACCTAAGTTGGTCACTATGATGTATTCTGCAATGTGTTTCAGACATGTTGCTCCATGATAATCTCTTTACAGTATCTATCTGTACATCCAGCCCCACCCCAAAGCAGCAGATTTGTGTTTTTACAAATTGCCATGAAACCTAGAATTCTGCTGCTTGTATTTGCAGCACATTTTACACTGCACAATTTTTTAATTAGAAAATGAGTAAGTGTGATTTCTGTGTTCTTTTACAGAGATTCAGACAGATCGTTAGATATATTTGATGAGAAACTGCACCCATTGACTGTAAGCTCTTCATTTTCTTTTGACCTTCCCTGCCTGATTAATAAATTAATAGAATTAAAATCCTGCAACACCCTTTCAATTTGGGGTGTAGTTCTCCATGGTAATACATGAATTAGCAACATACACAATGGTTTGCGTGCCTGTTTCGATTCTTTACTTCCCTTTCCCCTTCTCTTCTTACTCCCCCCACCACCAACACTGCCAAAGTTTAAATGTGTAACATTTGGTTCTTCAGGTTATTTGCATCTCCACACACACACTAAGCCCCCCACCCCGCTCCCCCCACCCCCATGCCAGGGAAGGGGAAAGTAAGATTCCAATGTAATGCAACATCATAGTGTTTTATATGAATATGGACCTTCATGCGGTATGCTATGAATCCTATGTTATTTCTGTAATGGAGTGCTGTCCAACACAGTTATAAAATGATTAAGATTGTTTTAGGGCTTGGAAGAGTTGTTTGTAAGCCATCATTTTATGCAGAGGAATGCTTTCAGCCCAAACACATCAGTTTCTACAGTCTTTGTCTGGGCCATCCATGAAAGAGGGGCTTGGGGAGTTTTCCACAGGAAAGTTGGGAGATTGTGTTGTATTGATGGTTTAAACGGCATAAATCAGATTGATGGCTTTACCTGCTTGCTTACCTCTCCGCTGACCCCAGAAGCTTAAAGATAGTCAGGGGAGAATGTCAGGGTATCATTATCATATTTGTACTGAGTATTGAGAATACAGCTTCTGAAATTTTATGTCTTGTTACAGAGAGAAGATGTGCCAGTAGATTACTATAAGCATGACCCAGAACACAAACATATTTATCGGTTTGTACGAACGCTCTTCAGTGCGGCTCAGCTGACTGCTGAATGTGCGATAGTGACATTGGTAAGGAATTCATTTGAGTTATCTGTATTGTGCAGTTTCCGTGCGATGCCCCCGAGAAAGAGATGTTCCTCAATATTTTGGGGATGTGGATTCACTGATAAACATTAGTTCTTTGTGTCTTTTTATGCAACGGGTTCAATAAGTTAAACCTTGTTTCTTGCAGGTATATCTGGAAAGACTGCTAACATACGCTGAGATCGATATCTGTCCTAGTAACTGGAAGAGGATTGTACTGGGTGCCATCCTCCTCGCTTCCAAAGTTTGGGATGATCAAGCTGTCTGGAACGTTGACTATTGCCAGATCCTGAAAGACATGACTGTTGAGGATATGTACGTATCTAACTCAGCCTCCTTTAAGCCTGTCCACGTCTCCTACAAGGACTTGGAAAGAGACTAGTGTTGTGTTAAAGTGTGAATGATTGAATTGTGTTCAGCCTATTATTGGAGTTTGGCTGAATTAAGCCTTTGGCTATATTGTGCCTGGATTCGCAAGTACGACTTGCCACCATTAGAATACAATAATACAAATTATATAGTGTCTTTCACATTTGGAAGATGTCCCAAGTTTTGGGCAGTTTAAGACTTGCACTCTGGGAGTCGGGGCGGAGGCTGAGCCTGTGGGGGTTGGAAAAATGGCTGGAAGTGAGGTCAAAAAGGAAGGTCGTGAACGAGGCGTGGGAAAGTGTGCGTTGAAGGGACTCTGGATGTTGTTCTAGAGGGTGGGGGCAGACCATTATCAGGCTATTTTAGACTCACAATTTTGCAGAATCAGATTCCTTTTAAAACAAATCTTAAAAGCATAACAATAGTGTCTTTTACTGAAATAGACACTAAAACAAGTACTCCTGAAAATACCGAGTGTATATATCGAGGATGTTAATACAATTATACAATCGCCTTGAAAGATGGGAATCCCAAAGGGGGACAGACTATCAATGGGAAGGGGCATGTTGAGAATTGAGGGTCCAACTGGCTGGTAATAAGTAGCTACTTCACAACTGGTAACTGAATATCTGCAGTACAAGTCTAATATGTGTAATCAGATACATTATTTAATGGACTTCAGACTTGGAGGGGAGAGTTCTATATGTATTCTATATATAAGTTCTACAAGCTATTAACTGTAGATTTTTTTTAACCAACATTTGAAAAGTAATCAGTCTTTAAGCTCTAAACTGCCCTGAATTCCACTCTTCTCCTTCAGTCTTCAGCCACTCTGTCCCCACCCTCTGGAACTCCACACCACAGTCCCTCTGCCTCGCCCCCTCCCTTGCTTCCTTCAAGACCCTCCTCTTCAACCGTGCTTTTGACCACCCTCCTTTCCCCGACTGCCCTCCACCCTCCCCGAACCCAACCCCCAACTTGGGTGCGAAATACTGACTGTCCAGCGCCTTGGGATGTCCTCCTGATGTGAAAGGCGTTATACAAATGTAGTGTTGTTCTTGTTCTCTGTGCGGGTTTGGTGGTATAATACACAGAATTGCCAAATGATGAGACGCGTGTGTTTGTGCCTCACCTACATCAACTGTACAGTCAGGAAAAAAGTACCAATTGGAATCTTTAAGGGATTTTTAGACCGTGTGTCCAAGGTTCCATCCCAAGCCACAGTTGGCGTACATCAATGTCATCACAGCATATGGTGTACAGTATATTTTAGATGCTCCATTGCAGATTTGTCCTGGAGTGCAAGGCAGTGGATTTAAAACCGGCTTGAGCTATCTTTGCATTAGTGTCTTTGTTAGTTTGTTCAAAATGGAAGGTTATTAAAGATGAGAATAAGTGGATGTTGTGTAAATCCATTTTTAGGTAATTATTAAATAAAGTATATCTAGAATTGCATGGCGGCTGAATGTCAAGGACAGCAGAGAGCACTCCTGCTCTGTGCTCCCTGTCTATTAGTGGGTTGCATAGCTGAGCGTGCAGTGCTCCGTCTCCCGTTAAAAGCCTTTCTCTGATGCAGCTCTGTAGCTTCAAGAGCCCTCATCCACAGAGATGATGATAGCAGTATGCTGCGTCCATTTGTTTCTGTAGCAACGAGCTGAGTCCTTTGTGCTTTTCCTTTCCAACAAACCTCTTCCTGCTATCAGCCTGATATAAGTGGCCATGAGTCATTTGCTGATAATGCACAACATATGAATACCTTTCATCTGATCCAAAGAACGTTGTGGACTTGTGAGCGAGCTCAGAAAATAAAGGACTGAAGATTTCAGTCATTAGAGATGGTGGGGGAAGGAGAGAGATGAGAAGAATGAATTCTGTGTTAAGAGTGCAGTGGGCTCCCATTTGTCATTCTTTTAATGTGCCGTATTCTAGTTGTTAAGGAAAGGGTTTGTCAGCAAATCTAAACCCCAAAATGCAGTTTTTGCTGTTTTTAGTTTTGCCAAATAGTTTACATTTTCACAAGTTTGTTGCACTGCAAGAATGTTGAGCGGTGGAGGGATCTGGAGTTTCAATGGGAGACAGCACATTTTACTGTTGCTAATCTTACTCGGGGAGAGTGTGTGTTGTGCATGCCTGTGTGTGTGTGCGCGCATGTTTTAGATTCAGTGTTATTTTATGTGGACTGATGTCGAGACATAATTTACCTCCGCTAATTGTATACAGGTGTATGCACAGAAACTTTCATGGTTTCTGATTTGTTGAGGCTTAAATTTTAAGATAAACTGATTGTTTACATGAGATTTGGATGTTAATTTTATGCCTTCAAGACTTGGTCTTTTAATATATTTTTCCCCATGATCACCTTTTTGCAGGAACGAGATGGAGAGGCAGTTCCTAGAGCTGCTACAGTTTAACATAAATGTCCCTGCTAGTGTTTACGCCAAATATTACTTTGATCTTCGCTCTCTGGCAGACGACAATAATCTCAACTTCCCTTTAGAGCCACTCAGCAAAGAGCGAGCACAAAAACTTGAGGTAATGACCTTTTCTCTGGTATTAACAAATTTGCCGCGTTGTGTTCACGGAAATAGGAATAGTCTGATTCTAGGGTTGGTTCTTCCATAGTGTGTTGAAAACTTTGGGACAAATGGATAGTTTTGAATGGTTCCAGTTCCATGCTGTGCATTATTACTAGCCTAAAGTCTGCTCCTAAATCCATGCAAATTCAATTGCTGAATAGGGCAGTGCAAAATCAATGTCCCAATTCATTTCACTAATTTTTCCTTCTCTGCCCCTGGAATTACAATCAGTGCCAGTGATAATGTTTTACAAGTGCAAACTGTTTATCTGCTGTATTTTTTTTAAGCTGAGGCCTATAGAACATGACTATCTTGCATGGGGGGTGGGTGGGGGGCATGTCCATAACATGCTGTTCAAGGAAAGTGCAGGAATCGTGCTTGAAAGATGGATGGTTATAGATGTGAACAGCAAAGAGTGATGTACTGAGCAGGTGAGGCAGCATGTGAGGCAACAGGTAGCTGTGAGGCAGCCTTGCTGTTCACGTCTGACTTCTAGCACCATTTCCAATGTTGATTTCTCCCCATTACGCAGGGTTACATCTGTAGTTATTAGACCTTCCTTCCAGTTTCCTCCCCCCACCCCACCCACCCACAACCTGCCTGGGATATTTCTGGTCCTAACTGTACCACCCAAACAAAGATCAGGTCAGAGCCAAGTGCAGTTGGGGGTTAACCCATGAAGAGAATGTATATTGAGTCGCTACACACTTCTCAGAAGCTAGCTGCACATGGCATTGACACTCTATGAACCTGTCCACCCTCTAAGTTGGGCAATGCTAATGGTGGGTGGGGGCACGCGCCTTGAGGAGGAGACAAATAGACTAAATGTGGTGTTTTAAGAAAAAAACGCATGAAGCTAAAATAACAAATGTTTCCCCCCCACCCCACAGGCAATCTCCAGGTTGTGCGAGGACAAATATAAAGACTTGAGCAAAGCTGCTATGAGGCGATCACTCAGCGCCGACAATTTGATAGGAATTAGTCGTTCTAATGCCGTCCTCTCCTAGAATGAAGACCCTCTTCGGCCCGTATTGCACCAGGAGAGACCGATCTTCCAGTTGGTGGCGCCGTTCGTCTGCAGATGAAACCCAAACTGCAGCCCCTTTCCCCTCTGGCCCTGAAGAGCACACTTGGGATTTTTAATGTTCCACGTTGGCCACCCCTCTGCAAGGCCCTTTTAGAAAGGCAAATTCAAGACACTACACTGACACAGCAACCTGCAGTGTGAGGAGATGTTATGCTTACTGTGTAGGCCTACAATTGAGATGTTCATAAGGTTTTATGTCAAATGGTTTTAATTTCTCAGTATGATTTTAAAGAACAGCATCCAGACAAACATGAATCATGTTGAGAGGACTCCATTGGGGCAGCAGCCAGTGTGAAAGTACCAGGGCAGGGGAAAATTATAGACAAATAAAACCAACAATGTGTACTGTATGTATGAGTTTGACCAACAACGAGCTGTCCAAGGGTAAAGATCCCTTTTATGTATTGGTTGGACTTCAAAAGCAGCTTGTGTCCACAACCTGTTCTGCAATGTCTGCTGTAGCCTTGCTTGAAAAATTTTGGAGGGACTTCTTCCCTCCTCTTCCCCTTTTGAATGTCTCCCTCGCCACCTATTCCTGAACTTCTCCCATCCTCCTACACCCATTGACCCAAGTTAATATGAGGAATTTGGCTTATGTGGGAAATTCTGGATGCCCATGTGTAACCTTCCACTCCAATGTGCCGCTCCTCCAGTCTAGTCAGTTCAGGTGTTTATTTTCTTTTTGAAGATGACAGTATTACCTCAGAAATAGGCTCTTATAATATAGCGAGCCTAAAACTAAACCAGAAACACTGTCTTGCAGTGCTTTTAGCAGCGATTTGAACAAGCTTCGTGAACTGAGTTTTACACTGCAGTATTTTAATTCATTGCTTTAAGACTGTTGTGAGCTGGTAGGTAGAGAAAAGGACATTCTTGGTAGGGTTGCTTCAGTGCCAGCCTAGTCACTCAGCTGCTGCAGCAGCATGTCAGCTTATCAATCCAGTATGGAGCTTCTGAACCTTGGGAGATTTGCACTGCTAGTCCTTACTGGGTAGCATCTTGATGGTACCAGTTGAAGACTTGTACCACAGGGTGCTCCTGTTTGTAACCAAATATCCAACTTCAGTTTCTATTGCAATCTAACTTTATAATAGTTTAATACTGAAGCGTGTCATTTCTGATGATCCCTGTACGGCTACAATCCTAAGGCATGTGTATCTAAAACCAAAATCTCTGCCTACTGTAATTTGTCTGTCTACATTTCATTGGCTTTTAGTTTATTTTTAAACAAATGATTCTATATAAACATTTTACATTTTTTTCTTTGTCCGGTGACTCCTCAGTGCACGCTTTTACTTCAAAGCATTTTAAACACTTGCGATTATGAGTCAATAGCAACTTCTGTAACAGGCGAGTTAGATCGTAGATTGCCATTAGAGGAAAGCTGGTGTTGTTTCAAGGTAATATTTTTTACAGAGGCTTTTACTTGCCTGTGTTTCATTTTGAGAAAATACTACGTTATAATTCAAACTACCCTAAACAGACCTCTCAAGATGTCAAAATTGCATTTACTAAAGTGATTAAGTCAGGTAGACCAAACCACAGCTTGGAAGTTAGGAGTGTTTATTGCCTAGCCCTGGTTATTTGAGAAGTTCATGGTATTGGGCCTCCTCTTTAAATCGCTGGAGTCCTACAATTGAGCGGCTGGCTCACTTGCCAGTTTTCAGTGATTATTGAGAACAGTCCCACGTATTGTGAGACCAGAGTAGTGTGTAGCATAGATGAAGATTTCCTTTCCTGAAGGATATATAACAACTGCATTAATGCAGCATCCTTCACGTAGGATGATGTCTCAGTACATCACAGTGGCAGGGTGGGATGTCGAACAAGGAGGAGGTGACCTAAGGCGTGGTCAAGAGGCAAGTTTTAAAGAGGGATGTAAAGTTGGAGTGGGTGAGGCAGAAAGTTAGAGGTAGGGAGTTCAAGAGTTAGGGTATGATGACTGAATCATAATGTGGAGGGAGCAGGGAATGCAAAACAGGAGTGTGTTAACTGAGTGCAGTGGGCAAGCAGAGGAATGAGATACAAGAAGAGATAGGTGTAGGGGTCAGTGAGGAATTTGTACGTCAGCATGAGGACCTTGATATTGATCTGTTTGGATCGATACATAGAATTACATGGGTAGTACAACACGGAAACAGGCCATTTTGTCCAATTAGTCCATACTGGTGTTCATACTCCACGTGAGCCTCTATCTCTCCTAATGTCTTCTCCCTATTCTCCTCCCATACCTCTCTATTCCTTCTCCCATGTGCATGCATCAAGTTTTGTGGCATTGATGCTTTCTGCATCAACCACAACTTCTGGTAGTGAGTTCCACATCCTCATCACTGTGAAGAAGTTCCTTCTTAGCTATTAGATCTGCTTGTGGCTATCTTATTTAACCCACAAAATACACAATCCACTTTGCGATATATTCTGGGATGCACTTCGAGGCGTCTCAACAATGTGATCAGGAGTTCTATCAAATGCAAGAATTATTATTTATGTCCCCTTGTTATGTACTCACCAAAAAGTGGAAAAAGCCTATGTGGACTTCATGGAACACTCATAATTTTTAATACTTCTATCAGCTATCTCAAACGCTTCATCTTAGTGAAACAGTTGGGTTTTTAACAGCAAGCTGGCATCTTTGTGGTATTCATGATTTCTGTGATAAAATTATGTTCACATTCTTGTAATAAATAGTAAATTTAAGATGCAGTGTTTATGTATCCCAAGTTCGAGTGCAAAACTGAATAATTTGGGATGCATTTTCTTTCCTTGCTTGGAAGTCTTTTCATCCTGAAGTCATGAGATTACGTTTCTGGGTACTTTTGGGAATCTTGTTCCAAGTATCTTCTTCATATAAAACCAATCGCTAAATCATAGTACAATATTTATTAATAATAATTGATATAGCACCTAATCACATTGTTGAGATGTCTCAAAGTGTTTCACGGAATATATTGTAAAGTGAATTGACTGTATATTTTGTGGGCAAATGGGGAATTGTGTGCAAGCCCTTCATCCAATATGTATGGGGCCAATTGTGGTAGCACACCCTTATGCCATCAAAGCAGACATCAGCCAATTCATTACAGATTAGAAATGAAACTGGATATTTAAAAAAATAAATGGACAGTTAGCAAACTAAACCTAAGCTGAGAGACTCAGCAAAAATGAATGAGTCTTGACTTCCCTGCCCTTGTTCTTTATGCCATAGGAAAGAACAGTTGGTGTGTTGATTTCACATGGTATAGTGTGAACAAATGCAAGCTTATTGATTCTGTTCCCGATACAAGGTTTCCTGCAGGGATTTTGCAGCAAGGTACCAGGTTCTTCTCCACTATTTGACAGTTCAACATTTTAACGAACAGGGTTGTTCTCTCTCTACTCTCCCTTTTCAAAAAAANGACTTGATACAGCGAACTGCCTGGGAATTGAAAGCCACGCCAGCCTGGAGTTTTGGTCAACATGAACATCTAACTACTAATGTTGAGAATTTGCTAAGGATGACCCAGGATTTCTAACCCTTTTCATATAATTGAATGGTTTCTTGCTCCTTTAGGGGATGATCCAACTTGTCGTGAGGTTGAGAAGGTCAGAGGTAATCTGAGGTTAAGTGTGGGGCTGGACTGCAGGAGTGTACACCTTTGCAGAAACATGAGCATCTGTCTGCCACTTTCTGTCCCTTCTGTCAGCTCAGCTAACATTTTAACAATGTAAATTTATGAACCTCATTGTCTTATTGCGAATGAAAGCCACGTTGGGAAGGAATATTTTAATAATACTTTTACGCTTGATCAATGTACCCAATGTACCTTTTACACACACACAATGTTGGTAGTTTGCTCATTTTGACAACTTTCTCAGTTTTGATCAGATATAAATAGAATACATCTAAGGTTTTAGCTCAGCTCTTGTCCATCTAGATCTGACCCGGGATTTTTTTTCTCAGTTGCTGCTAATGGAGGTGTAGTGAGATGTACTTTAAATTGCCTCGATCCTGCAATGTCAACTCTTGTTTCCTTATCAAATCATTTTGATATTTCAAATACTTTTTTTTTAAAAATTTTAAAGTCCTGTTTCTGCCCCCACTTTTCAACTTAATGATTTTTAAAAATTGGATAGTAAATTTGGGCACTGATTTTGCGCTCGCCAATGCTGCCCTGGTAACTTTGTCAGGAAAGAAAATGTATAATATAGTGTGAATGAGGATTTCTATGTGTGTGGAGGTGTGTATGTATACTATAGAAAAAGGGAGGGATTGAGAGATAGGTGCACAAGCACGCATATATAACCTGTCACTTTTTTATATACAATGAGGGAGCTACACTTGGTAATTGTTTTCATGGGTTACTGCAGATTGGCTAAACGTGAGGAATACCCAGTGCAGCTCTAAACAGCAGAAGCTGAGACTTAATAAAAACAACTTCATTTATATTGCTTCCATCATCCGAGTAAAATCTCAAGAGTGCTTAACAGTGATGGAGCTTGAAGAGGGGGGAGTCCATGGGCACAGTCAAAGAGCAAGGTCTTCAGATGCGATCTGAAGACGGGTTAGGAGCTGCAAACCTGAAGGATGGAGGCAGAAAGTTCTATAATAGGTATAAAATGCATACAAATATAAATTAATATGCTAGCAGCAGCTTTCCTTTTAATGTTGCTTTTGCATAATCAAGTCCTGCAGACACCTAGGATGAGATCTGAATAAAACCCATTCTGGATAGCATTTGCCATGTTTCTAGTTCTGCTGCCTTAACTCCACAAAGCAACTATGTGCATTTAAAGCTTCATGCTGAATGGTAGCATTTGCACAGTGTCAGCAATTCAACAGCACTTCAGTCTGAAAGAGAAGTGTACCTATTCTAGATGCAATTTGATTAATTTTTCTTGAGTGAACAGTGAGCAATTGGTGAGCCATGTAGTAAACCTGTTCAGTGAGTAATCATAAGCAGTGCAATAAAGACAGCTGTTCACACCACAAAGATTAGTTAAGGAAATGGGAAGCGAGCAGGAAAATGGGGTTAGAGTAGGTGGTTCACGTGAAGTAAAACAGCGCAGACTTGATGGGTCAAAAGGCTTGTTTCTGTCCTGTGTGATTCTATGTTAAGTGAATATTCTTATACAATTATTACAAACTTAACGTTTTATTGTGTGGGTGTATACTGCTGGTATGGATGTGTCACTCTTCCATAGATTCCAGAGAACACAGCGCTGGTATAGCCCTGGAATCAATTACTCTACTCATTTTTATGCGGTGGGATCAAGTGGGTATAGGGAGAAGAGGGAATTTTAAGAAGAATATAATACATGAGCTAGGCAAGATATACAGTTTCCTCTTCCTCACATATGCCCCACCCTGAAATTGTATTCTGCTATAATTTGAAAGCTTTGAAAAACAAACTTGATCAACGTTATAACACATTGACCTGAATTCCGAGATGCAGAAAAGAGTGAAACAGACCCAGAGGCCTTTAAGTACTCTCCCCGGAACCACTATCCCCCCTCTACCCCCATCCATCTCCCTCGCTATGTACACCTATACCTCTGTCCTATCCTAGATGGTCACATTAGGCCTCTCTTAGAGGAGGCAAGTCTAAATACGGATGATTTACAAGTAAATATTTAATTCTAGCAAAGGCTTCTTTTTTCCTTTCATTCAGTATGATTGACTGTAGGGTCAATACGTTTATTTTTCCCCACTGGTAAATTGAACTGGGTGTACCACAGTTGCCTGCCGATATCTCGATCTTAGAATTGAGAGTGGAAGCCTGCATGTAGTACTGCAGAACTAGTGACACAGTGTGCATGGCATATGGAAACTATAAACCATTGCACCAGATAGCCTTAAATGCATTTATTAAACAAGATTGCTGTCTGATTTCTAGACCCAATGTAAAATAAAATGTTTGCTCCCCTTTTATATCATCCCATGATTTTTTACTGAGATGCTCTAAGGGTACAGTGAAGAAATACATTTTATAATCTCTACATCCAATCTAACACCAACAATTTATAGTAATATGAAGCTAGTACAAATCATCCTCTAAAATCCAGCTCCAATACCAGCCCTCTACACCAATGCAGATGTGCATCTAGGTGCAAGGTGATTTACCGTTGACACAAAACCTCTTCTATTGAGTTTTGCAAAACTTGAAACCACTGCACGTAAGAATGTGGAGCCAAACGTATGCAC